GGGGGGGGGGGCGGTGCGCGGCATCACGTGCCCACAACACGCTCACGTGCCGCCGCCGCGCGCACGCGCGGGGAGAGAACTCGAGGCCGCGGGGGGTGATGGTGGTTGCGGTTGTCGGGCCCGGCCGCGCCGCGACCGTACGGGCGAGCAGGTAATGGTGAAGGCTGGGAAAGGGGCGGGGAGCCGCCTCGTCCAGCCCGAGAAAGGGCTGTGCTGTGCTCTGGAGCTAAGGATGGGCTTTGTGCCGAGGCTTTGGGTTGTGCCGAAAGAGGAGCAGGTGGTAAACGCAAGGGATCCGGTAAGGTGGCTCTTAAATTCGAGCATTAAACGGAGCGTGAATTTCCCAGAAATGTGCCTTGGGCTGCTTTGCCCCAGCTCTACTGGGTCGGTTTCCACATCAGGAAAGAGGGAACCGCAGTGCGCGCACACGTTGCACGGAGGGAACGCCTGGTACCTCGCTTCAGCTGCTCTCAGTAAGTTGGTGCTGCGCCTTGGAGGCTTCTCTGCTCCGTTTGTATTTGAAACGTGGTTAAGTGCTGCTCTGGAGGTGGAAGGAAGTCCCGTTCTCCCCGTTCTGTTTTCGGTAGGGTTCTTGCAGTGGTCCTACAGCTTTGGGATGCTGGCATGCAGCTCCACGCAGCCCTTCAGCCTCGGGGGCAGGAAGGACGTCAGAGCTACTGCCATGATCAATGCTAAGAAAAATACGCTCGAAATTGGATTTATCAGCTGTGGGGGGAATACCAAAAGCACGGTAACCAACAGGCTCACTGGCTCCCCAATGGCTGCACTGTTAGATAGGAGTCCAAGCATCTGCTCCCAGCCTGGCTCAGGTTGGGCTAACTTGCGAGATGTTCTCCTCTGTTTGACCTCCTCTCTTTGCTCCCCCAGCTCACCCACCACCGCGCTGCCCATCTCTGTACGCATTAAACTCTGCCGTGTGGTGCAAGGACAGCAGGATGAGTCACAGAGCCTTGAGCTGGAGGGAGCAGTGCCCAGCTGACCCCTCTGGTGGAGCTCATTGTTTCTCCTCTCCCCCTCCCCAATCTCAAACTAGGAAATAAGACAAGCTCAGACTTCCACAATAGAGAAATCTTGCTTTTCCTTCCTTGTCCCAGCAGTGCAACATGTCGTAACAATTAGAAAGCTGATAAATAATTTGAAATCTTCCCTCTGCTGTGATGCAATTCCAGGATAAGGATATTCATCCCTTTTCAGTGATTATGATACAATGAATGCAAAAGAAAAAACCTCTCCCATCTTTTGAATCGATGCAGAGGAAGATAAACAAGTGTTTCAACCTTGTCTTGATACTCAACTTCCCCCCCCCCACGTTGTAAAACAGCACTGGCATCTATAAAGCAACAATGTTCCTGCTTATTGAAATCCTTCCAATTTCTATCTTGCAACATTTACAGCACATTAATTTGACACCAGTGACTTTTAGCTGGTGAGCTACTGAAGTATGATTTTTTTTTTCCAGCGTCTCAGGGTTGGTGCATAAACTACTACAGGATCTTGCAAGCTTGGTCTATCGTTACATTAGAGTAGCTGGATGAATTCACAGGAGAAACGTTCTCCTTGCAGACACAGCACCTGCATTACTCTAAAGGGGAGCACAGCCTGCATCCCCCCAGATCATTTTCTCATCATCTCTTTTGTATGTGCTTGCTTTGGACCTACAGGGGAGCTTTACTCTGAATTTCAGTGAGAATGTACTCTGACATTACAAAGCCCTTCCAAAACAGCTGTTCTGTCTGGTGCCTTTGATATAGACTGATGCACTGCTTTGACCTGTCAAAGTATTTCAAAACTAGCAGCAACCAAAAATATTGTATTTTCTTTTATGTAGCTCTCAGAGCACAGACGGGAAAGTATGGTGGAGAATCAGATCAAAGGACTGGCTGCAAAGTCCTCACCTCCTAAAGGCTTAAATGGCGTTATCCTACTCTGCCTTTATGCTTTTATAATGGAGGTGGAAAGAAAGCCAGAATAGATTCATGTAGATTCACTTCACCTTTCAGGAGAAGATATAATAAGTAAAGCTGTCAACCCTGCGTGGCTTTGGAAGGAACAAATGGCATGGAAATGAGTAAAAAGGGAATGAAAAAAATTAAGAGATCCAGTTTTGACAGTGTAGCTCAGAGCTATGTTAGGTTATTCTGCTTGTAAGATCCTCATGGGATTCCCCTTGATAAAAAATAATTAAAACATGCTCTGACCAGTATATGACATGATTCTCTTCACTACCACCTAGTGGGAAACTCCTTCATTAACTGAGCTCCACAGCTGTTCCTATTCTCAAAGATCCTCACCCTGATGATGGAGGCTGTGTGTAAGTGAAGGGGGAACTGACAGATGAATGAGAAGGACGCTGTCCTGATTCTCTGTACCAGAATAAGAATTGTAAAGAGAGAGATCACCTCTAATTTAAGGCCATTGGGTCCTAAGGCATTGTCACACCAGAACTCCCCGCTCTGCATCCACTGTAGTTCTTAATGGCTGCTACAGCTCAGCCTCAGCATCACCAAGAATCCCAAAATTTAAACACAGCCTTTGGTCATAAAGAGCAAAACATTCATTCTTCTGAATGCAACTGCGTCCTGCCAGCAGTGATAAGGAGGAACTTGTTAGGCTGTTCCTGTGTCACAGTCACAACAGAGCACTGCCCTCTTAAAATCTTCTGATTGTACTCTTAATTATAATTTAATATAGGGAAGGAGGAAAAAAAAAAAAAAACAAAAAAAAAAAACCTTCTTTGTAAAGTCACATTTTCAATGGTGTTACTATTCATATTTACAACAAAGATTACTCAATTAAAGCATTAAATGTGTATAATTGGGAACATTAACACGATGTATTCGAGTGAGTCCTTTCCCACTGAGATACCCAGGGTTTGCACCAACACTGAAATCTGTGTTGAAACCCTCTGGAAGCAACACAAACAGCAATTACCTTGGATTGCTCACAGTCCTGGGTACCACGTGGGACTGAGCTCCCGGGGCGCAAATTAGAATCGGTTTTGTCATTTGCATTCTTTTTTTTTCCAACCGTGGAAATAGGAGTGAACACTGTAATAACAACTCTCAGATTTCACAGAGGTGATGTTAAATGCCATCCAGGCCAATGAAGCATTTAGCAGTCTCAGCAGGAAGAAGAGTAAAATGGTAAAGAATTACTAGGAGAACCACTTCTCTGCATCTCTTTTGCCAGTGATAATGTTCCCACCGCATTCACAGCCCCATACAAGCTTGCTCTGCTAGCATTTCTTTCATTCCCTTTGTGTTCCTTGAAGTCACATTGGGCTGCCTTTATCTTAGCCAATTACTGTATTTTTCATCAGGAACACTTAAGGATGGATATAACTCAGCACATGAAAACAAAGGTAACAGTCGTACTGATACTAGAATTCAGGCTTTGGGCGTCTACTGTCTGCTCTCCATTCCGTTCCCAGTACCCTACTGTCTATTACTTGGGTTTTTCCCTGGTGTAATAAGGAAAATACAGACTAATAAGTCTAAATAATAAGAAAATCCTACTGTATACCCATTTATACTTTCATGCAGCAGCTGTCAGTATTAAGTAGTCCACAGTTCAATTACTCTATTAAATGCAGCAGAGAAAGATTACGTTGGAACAGTTAATGGAGGAAGACTGGAGGAAGTGGGCACATCCTTACCTAAAATGGCCTAGACTGTCTGTAATTCAGGAGCAGTGAAGAAAAACATAACTGAAAAACATATAACAGTGCAAAGCATTCAAGCATGTTTAAAGAGTCTTTATTATTGTAGAATGGAATTGTACAATGGCCTGGGTTGAAAAGGACCACAATTATCATCTAGTTTCAACCCCCCTGCTATGTGCAGGGAAATTATCTTTATTATTTATTATGTTTGTCATTAAAATAAAATAGAAATCAGACTTTTTGTGATTACTAATTGATAAGTTTCTCAAATGTGCATCTAAACCAATTTGTTACTAAAACATTATTCACAAGCCTGCTGTTACTGCTGGCCAGTTTAGTGTAGTAGAGCTGCTTATGTCTTATCATTGGAGCACTGAACTTAAGGAAAAGCAAGCAATTTTGCAGCAAGAAATTCAAAAGCAGGTACTGCAAACAAGAGAAGAATGAGCAAAATCATTCGGTGTTTCCAAACTCAAAGAGCTGGCCCTGCCACAACCACCAGGATGATCACCTCAGTCTGAGTAATTTAAGAATCAAGTCACAGCCCAGCAAATTGTTGCAATTAAGGAAATCAACACATACTAAACACTGGTAATAAATGAAAATGAGTAAAGCAAAACAAACTCCTTGTCTTTCAAATGCTCATTCTCAATGCAAAATCTGTGAGGTGCAATTTAGTTACAGGAGTATATTGTTTGGGTTACAGCACTCTACTATTTACTTTCTGCTCTGCTACTAGAACTGGAATCCAGCCTTAAAGCTTTGCTGTTACCCACCTTGGCCTCTGCTATCCTTAATACCTCACGCCTCCCAGCAGCATGTTATGGAAATGGTAAAAACCTGAGAAATACCATATTGCAATCTGTTGTGTCAGTGCATAAAATAGGAGTGCTAGGTAATACATGGCAGCAGTCTCCTCTTTTTTTTCCCAAGTGCACGGTCTGATTGCTCATAATTTGGAACTCTGAAGAAACACTATAAAGATCACTAGTTTTCCTGCACTGGAGAACCTGAAATACTGAACGGAGCCTCAAACCATTCACTAACACGGGCTGGTGAGTTACAGCGAAGGTAAAGGTGATGATGGAGTTGTTTAAAGAACGCTTACTTCTTTGTTGTTTACGTGCCTATAGTTTAGAGTGTTAAAGTGATGGAGAAGACTTACCCCCTTTCCAGTACTTGAATAGATTCCATATTCAGCTCAGGATTCTCCACGTGGCATCCAGCCGTAGCATTCAGTGAGGTCCCAACCTACAAGCAGACGTTCATTTCTGTTTTCACAGTCTTCAAATCCCACTGGCTTCAAGACAGGCTGTTCTAAAAGCCTCTGCAGCTGGAGGTCTGCAGGGTGCACAGAATCAAGGCAGAAGGCTTCTGGGTGTATAAGGAATCCTTCAAACCACACAATATAGGCAGATCATTTGTTGTTACGTTTTCTTCTCTTTACAGTTCCCTTGGCAGACTGATGGTTATGTCTGAACTCGGGGCTGTGTGTCCCCCACCCCCAAAGCACACAGCAAGCACGTACACTCACAGAACTCAGAGCAGGCAACCTTTTAAATAAGAATGGTAACAGTGTCCATCTTAGTTTAAATAAAAGAAATCATCATACCACAGAAAAAGATAAGTAACGTTGTGTGACAGAATCTTTGTCATTCATTGCAGGAGACCTGAATCTGTTGTCCTCACTCATAAAATCCTTGAATTCTAAGGATGCATCATGAATAAACTATGTATTGTGGTTGGATGCTGTACCTGCCATGCACAATTACTACTATTGGCCAGTATTGTTGGCATGTCTACTAGGTTGGGCATGAGCAAAATTGTAATTGGGAGTAAAATGCACACAAATTGTATCAAAGCATCAATAGGGGAATCTCAAATCTCACTGCTTCTTAAATGCTCTTTTTGTATTATAATAAATATGAATCTTTGAAACTAAAGACAAGTTTTTATGTGTTCACACTCGAGTTTCTTACATCGTTTTAACATGGACTCCAAAAGTTTACTTCTTTTTAGCCTTTTGTAGCCACCTGAGTTGTTTTAACATGCTGCAGCAAGAGGAACGGGTGGTACCTGGGTGTAGATGCCATCTGAAACAAAAGGTGACAGTTAGCAACAGCCCTGGCTGGGAAGGTCAGCCCAGCAGCCCAAGCACATCTTGCTGAGCCTGGAGGAAGGAGGGGGTCTCATCTGGAAAACACTCTGCCCTTCAGCTGCTGACTTGGCCCCTTGTCACAGGCGCCTGGAGAGCATGAAGGAAGAATGGGAGCCCAGATCATTCTGCAGCACTGTGTTGGAATACTTACTGCTTTTGAGACTGTTCTGTTGGGCTCCCCTTCGCTTGAGATTGGTGGAAGCGATATAAAACAAGGTGAGTGGCTGCCCATAGGAAACTTCCAATAAAACAACAGTTTTAAGTCTTCCTGTTGATCACGTAAGAAGGAACCATTTACAAGATGCTCACACACCATCAAATCCATGCCAAGTTATTTCCTAATTCTTCAAAATGGATAAAATCATTCATATATTTTCAGACTGCAAAATATCATATAATGAAGATTCCATGAGAATTGCCCTAAATTTTTCCAGTGAAGTTACAGAGCATGTTTTCAGGATTCAAACAACAGGTGGGAGTAGAACATTAGAGCAGGGTTGGTATCAAGAGACGTAGGTGATAAATGGGAGCCAAAGCTGCCCAGAGCACTTCTCAGAAGCAGGGCAGCTGCAGATAGGGATTCTCAGCATGTACCAACACCCAGGGCTAGTCCCTACCATGTGCTTGAATCACAAGCTCAATGGGGCAAGCAGTATCTGAATTACGTGTGTACACAGCTTTTTCTCATCAATTCAGCAATAAACGTAGCAAGTTCTTCTGGCAAGTGCTGATGTTTGCATATTAAGGTACCCAGCAAGCCAAAGGCAAAAGAAAAAAAAAAAAATCATTTAAGACTCAATGCTCTGCCACAGAAGTCAGCAGGAGCTCCAGAACATCCTGCGGGTCTTGGGAACGCTCAAACCAACCCAGTGGTCACTCGTCTCTGCTGGAGGGCTGTACAAAGGCAAACCAAGCTGCCGAGGCAGTATTTTTGCAGCCCAAAGCTCTCAGCAAGAGCTGAGAGTAGCTCAACCCACCACAGCTAGAGCTCAGAGTAGGCTCTGCAACCTTCCAACATTGGCGAACGCAACTCTTCCTCGTACGTACTCTACCTCTTCCTTCTCTAAAATGAATGGGGCCAAAAGTAAGCCTTGTTTTTCCACTCTTGTTCTCTTCGTTTTCTTTCCATGGCTTACTTTTCCATGCTGGCAGACCTTCTATCCCTTCATTTTCCTCTCTCCGCTTCCCTCCCTTTCCCCCTCCCCCTGCTTTCTCTCCCTCTGCACTTTGTGAACTGCTGCTGCAGTGCTGAAGTCCAAAGTTCAGTAACTTGCTAAGCACACAGATAAATATGAACCTTGGAGAATTTACCAATGTAAACAGATAGCCAAGGGTCCCTTTATCAGCACTGGCTCAGGACAGTCGTGGGGGGTCCAAAGTGGCTCAATTTTGTATTTTGTTTTTTTTGGGGGGGCGTAAAGGCGGGAGGCTGCGCTGTGCCCGCTGCTGACAGTCGGGCGTGTTACCTCAGGAACATGGTGTAGGGAAGCTGGAAGCAGGATAACGTGGAACTCAAACCCAAAGAACTGCAGCCTGAAGACCATGGTCTCGAAGCTGAGCCATCTTCAAGTGGAGCTGCTGGGAGCGCTGCTGGAGTCGGGGCTAACCAAGGAGACCCTGATCAAGGCACTGAGCGAAGTGGAACCCTACATGCTCCAGAGTGAAAGTCAGCATGCTATCAATGCCCTGCAGACAGAGAAAGGGGAGTCCTGCCCCGAAATCCCCAATCTCCCCAATGGAATGGGGGAAACCAGGTTGTCGGAAGATGAAACCTCTGATGACGGGGAGGAATTTACCCCTCCGATAATGAAGGAGCTGGAAAACTTGAGCCCTGAGGAGGCTGCTCACCAGAAGGCTGTGGTGGAAAGACTATTACAGTAAGGAAATAATTTGCTGCTCCTCTTTGCTGCTCTTTCTTGCATTCTCCCGCTAAGTCTCTTTTCCTTACCTTTTATGCTCAGCGTGCTCACAACTGATCTAGCTGCAGAGTTCCATCCATGCCCGACTATCCCCCGAGAACACTCCCCATACTCTTACAGATGCTCAAACTTTCTCTTTTAATTTCACTTCAAATGCATAAAGGGAGCCACGAAGCCCGATTACGAGTTTGAAACGCTTGTATCATCAGGCTCGAGAACAGTTCGTGGGCTGCGTAAGTTGCATCTTTGACTAAATGTTAGTTTCCGCCATTTATACTTTTATTGGATTCAGGATTTCAGTCATCAAGGAAAGAAAAAATAATATCTGGTCACACTCTTAACAGGTATCATGTTAGCCAGTGACTTGATGGTAAAGTGAAGCTGTGAAGTTTCCCTGCTAATTTTAAGGTGATAAATATTTTTAACTTTACTGCTCTTTGAAGTATTGATGATCAAAGACAAACCAGGGAACTTCTCATCCCATGAGTGCTTAGTAATCCTGACTTCAGTGGAGATTTTCTTGTAGAAAGCACACAAATCAAATACCTGCAGTGAGGCAGAACCCACTGCTTCTACCATCCGCTCTCTGTCACAGCCATAAAGTAGATATGCAGCAACAACTGCAGGTTTTACACCCACACTATTTTGCCTTTGCATACACGCATTTTTAATAGCAAAAGACAGGCAGAGCTCCCTAACCACTAAGTCTTGTGACAGAGAAACATTCACTGGAGTTACCATTTGGCATTCTTCATGGGACAATATTTCTGTGGGCAAAGAGATTTGCCCAATAAGGATCATGTCCATCCAAGCAGTCTGGCACCTCAGAAGCAGAATCTGCCCATCTGTTTTGGGGGGTGGACATTCTGAAATCTCAAGCTAACAGAAAATCCAAGACATAGCAATGACCTGCACCTAAAATCTTCACTAAAACTGAAACACAGTTAGAGAATTTCTCAGGCATTGCTGTCTCCCTCCTCTTCACATGCAAACAAAATAAATATTAAAGGTAACAACAAGAAGCAAAACATCAAATCTCACCAGAAAGGCCAAAGCCAGAAAAACAGCAGGTCAGAGTTAGCACTCACCATAAGTACTTAGGAGATGGAAGATGGCGGACTGTGAGCTGAGACAGCTGCATCCAACAGAGGTAAATTCACTGGATCAGCTCTTACCCGGGTGGGGAAAACACTCCCAATAATTCAGTCTTCTTTTGGGGCCAGTCTCTCTTTCTTCTCTTCTGCTCTTCCATCTCTGTTACACCTTTTAGCCTCCTTTGTTCCCCTTACCTTTCTCTCCCTCATTCTTTGGACCTATTCCCTCTTCTCTCCTCAGTTTTGTCTCTGCTGCCAATCCTCCCCTTTTTAATGTCTTCCTAGCTAATTTTTCTCTCCCTTCCATGCATTTCCTTCCCCTCACCCTTGCCTCCTTCTCATCTCCCTGAGTCTGCGTACAGGTCTTGGGGTAGTTTGAGACCAGTGGCACCGGGCGGGCCCTGGCTAGTTACTAATTATCCAGTGGCTTTATTATTTCTCTTTTGTCTTATAAATTTATAGATGAAAAGCCCCTGATAAGCCTTTTGATCATTAACTTCCGATCAGGTATCTGTCCACAAGAGAGACCATGGAAGCTGAAGAGGAGCTCCTGGCTTTGCCCCATTTTCTTTAATGAATGGGTGAAGCAGGACTTCAGTTCTATCGCCTGTGGTCTGAGAACAGGCTCATGTATGGAGGGAATTCCTTCCTGCCAACTTCACTTTAGTACAATTTCTGGTTTCTGACCATCTCTGCCTTCCTAGGTGCTTGCTACTGTTTTCTCTTGTGCATGTTATCCGGCTCAGCACAAGACTTACTTCCCTTGCAAACCTGTGACATTAATGGTTTCTGGCCAACAGTCCCACATCTCTCTGCAGACAGTCAGTTGAGTAATACTGCCCTTCTACAGAGATTCTGTGTCTTACCTAAAACCGTAAGAGGGTAGAGAAAAGGATAGGTGAGAACCAGAGTCTCCTAAGCCTTACCCTGGGTTGTAATTGCAAAGCTTTGTTCTGAACCTCAGAGCCCACATTCATCAATCCCAAGTACCACAGGACAGAGCAATGCACCAGGAGTCCAAAAAGTTAGAAGAGTATTTATGGAGGAATATAATAGATTAAAACTATTCAAGGTAAAGTGAAAACACTGGGAAGTCTGTATTGTCAAGTATCACATTGTATAGATCTTTGATCAGAAAATATATTCAAAGCAATTTTATGTTTGAGAATCTATTCCAACTATCTGAACCAATATCAGGGCTTGATAATGTCTAAGCAGTTGTTGCTTACTAAAGCTTTTTCTTTGTTTTTAAGAATAAACCTTTCCATTAACAGATGCCAAAAGGTAACGTCCTTAAAATAATATTGTAATTACAGACAGGACAGAAGAATCTGTAATAGGAATTACTCTATAATAGAAATTACTTCTAGCAATGAATAAAAGGAAGGAAGGCAAGAAATCTCCAAGCCCAGGTATTCCCAGTAGAACTTCAATGATTGCGAAACTACCTATTTCAGCATCTACACAAGGATTTCACGTCAAGAAATCAGATGGAGGCTCTTTCACCTTCAGAAAGAACTTTCTTCAGGCTAACAATCCCTGGCCTGATATTGTAGACCACATTTGAACAGAGAGATTGACTTGTGGGCAGCTACAGGCAATACAAGCAAGTCTTTGTGGTAACTGCAAGTATCACTCTTTTAGTAGTACCAGAGGGAGTCCATTGCTAGGCTTCCCAGGAGATGGAAAGGAAAAGTGACAGCACCAAGAGACCCAACACATCCTCACAGGACCACTGAAGTTGGAAGCGTGGTTTTAGAAGCACAGAACAAAGCTGAGTAAGCTAGGAATTAGACAAGAGACTTCTACACAACTGGGTGATCCTATGGGCACCTATTCCATTTTGTCCCTGCAGAAAACAACGGATAAAGGCAGTTCAGACTAACGCTTCTGTAGTGAGGAGTTGACATTTCATCATTTCATCCCTAAATGTCTCATTGATCTTCCATAAATTCGCAATCTGAGCAACAACATTCCTTCCAGATCACCCTACAGAGAGGAAGAACAGCCTGGTATTACCTACAGAAGGCAAGAGAGAGGCATCCTTGGGAGCAGGGACAGATCGAGTTACTGCACGTCCAGAGAATGGCGAGAGGTTTAGCAGCAGTTCACCTGTAGGGCAAGGAGCAAAATGCCATTAGGAAAGAGAGAAATGGAGATAAGCAACAGGTTTCCCCTAGAGGCAGGGTCAAAAGCATGCCTTCCTTGAGGGAAAAAAGAAAAGCCATGATAAAGAGTCAATATCTTCCTCACGTAAACTGTCTTCGAGTTGCTGTAACGGGGGAAAGCTGAGATGAAGCTGCCACACCCCTTCCATTTCCACATATAAACCAAGATGAGGCGAACCAGGCCAAGTTCATCAGAAAGGAAGCCTGTCCATGGTCTTACCTTCCCTGCTCTCTGCCCAGCACGGCTCCAGGTGTGCACTGGCATCAGTGAGGGCTTCTAGTAACCTCTGCGTAAGTGAGCTCTGGTCCAAACAGCGATTCAGAACCTACAAAGGATTCTCTTGCCTGAGAATCTGAGAACAAGAAAGAAGGAAAGGAGAAATAGAGGGAAAAAATGGGGAAGAAGAAGGGAAAGAAAGGAACAAAGGAAAAAGAAGGAAAATTCAAGAAGAGTGAAGGAAAGAGAATGTCCCCCGAATGTTACATCTCCAGCTCTCTGGAATGGGTTTTCTTTAATGCTAACAACTTGATATTTACTTTCCATTTAAATTTGAGATGTTGCTATAAATTATCAACCAGCCTCTTGTTCCCTTTGAGTTTATAACTAACTACCTGGGTTACTTATTGTTCAGGTAACAAAAGGGAGGTGAAAACGCCCTTAAAAAGTGACCTCAAAACTAAGAAAATGGGAAGCTGGAATGGAGAGAAGACCCAGGCCCCTGTGGCTGACAGGAGTCAGGGAGAGGGGCCATGCTCAGAAGCTGAAAGCAGGACTGAAAGCAGGACTGAAGGCTGAAAGCAAGATTTGGGAAGTAAGCATTACGTGGAACAATTTCCAGGAAGAACTTAACATCTCCAAAGCAAGAATGGGATGGAGAGGTAGCTTCTATTTGGGAAGAACGAAGATTAAAAAAGCAGAAAACGGGCTTGCAGGTAGAAGAGAGCTTGAGTGAGGCACACCCAGTTCTAACTCACCGTGGAAGTGAGATTTTAGCACAGCTAAACAGGAAAACTGACAGTCAGTGACAGTCCTACCACTGCTGAAGGAATTAAGGTTTACCTTATGATGTGTGTGACAACGATGCAGTCTCCGCAGGTGGAACTGAGCATCTGGGCAACAGCTCCTTTCAGGGTTCAGCTGAGCAGCTGCCATTGCTTGTTCTGTGATGTAGTCCAGGGCCAAAATAAATTGCTGCACTGATATTACAGCCCACGTTTTGATGATGTACAGAGTAGTTTGGATTACACACAACTATCTTATGAAATTATACTGTGGTAAGATTTCCCTGCAGTGTTTTCCCTTACAGAACCCGCTCTGCTTTGTCTCAAAATAAAACAAACAAACAGAAAAGAAAGCACAAGGCTTTGAACTACAGTGAAAAAAAGACTCTTGGATTCTTCCCTCTTTGTTCCTACCACAAAGAAGCAAGGATCTCGACAGGGAAGACAGAAGTGACTCACCATCAGCCTGCAGGAAGGAAATCAATATGTAACAGTGGTTTCCATCAGTAATGACACAGTCCCTCCTTTCCCCATCTGAGCCAGAGCTCAAATCTGAGAGAAGAGATCACAAGTAGGAGCCTTTTCTGTATAGAGACGTGTGTAACAAATTCAAGGCACATGTGCTGGCTGGAACATATCACAAACACTGAGGGAGGAAAGACACCGAAGATGGAAAAGCTCTGCAAATTCAGCCCAATTTGAGGCTTCTGAAAAGACGTAGTTAAGGGAGTAGGCTAGAAGATTGAAGCTCTGTAAGCAAGTGTACCATCATAGCAGAGAAGCAAATGGTCCTAATTTAAGAAAACAGATTCTTCAGAGAGCTGTAACCAACCCTGCTTCCGCCATACATACAATGGCAGCAGAGCTTGCTCCTTGGACTACCCAGCCACTGTGAAAGGCTGTGAAGGGAACAGAGATAAGGGTATTTGCACTGAGAGAACAGGTGTGGACTTTGTCCTGCTTATCACTTTGCAGCCTCTGGCAACCTATTGAATCAACAAAGCCTCCAACAGTACAGCTGTTGCCAGTTGCTCAGATCTCTGTATTCTTGCAACACATCACCCATAATATTAGAAATATTTTTTCATCCCCGTTGCTCCTTTGATGCTGGTGTTAGATGCAGCACCACTGTACTTCTACAGTGTGCAAACCTTCTCCACCAGATATCCTGCATACAAAAACAGAAGGATGCTTTGTTAAAACTGAACCAGAATCTTTTCCATAGACGCTCCTGAGTTGGTTGGTTCTAGACTGCCTGTTTTTCCATCTTTCTATTTTTACTGTAATTTTCAGCCTCAGTGAAACTGACAAACACAAAGAAGTCGCAGTCAAAGTCACGTTGTCTGTTCTCACAAGTTCATAGAATGCCTCAGCTTGGAAGGGACCTTAAAGATCATCTAGCTTTAATTCCCCTGCTGTGGGCAAGGCACCCACTAGATGAGGCTGGGCCCCATCCAAACTGGCACTGAACGCCTCCTTAGGAACAGTTGTGGATGTTCTAATCAGAGGTCTTAATCAGAGATTCACGTTCATTATAAAATCTCAAATCAGATTAGCTTCAAGTTTTCCTCCAGTTGTTACCCCAAAGGAGAGTGGCAATAGGAGGAATAGGTTGCCTGTTCTTTATAGCAAGTAGGAGTCTGAGTGGATCTAGATGTTAATCAGATGTTAATAATGCAAGGCTGATGCACATAATGCCAGATTGCTTGGTGTATACATATTACATGCATAGCTGTCCTCTGACAGTATGATGAAAGCCTGTTTTCACTGCCTGAATCTCTGCCATGTTTCTCATCCCTGACAAGATTAAGGGCATGAGCTAGGTTCAGCATAGTAACACAGTGAATCTGCCTTGGAAAAATGAATTGCACCTATCCCAAGCACTTATGCCTTAAAGAGGATAGAGAAGAAAAGTAAGTAGAGAATGGCAAGATAGTTGTCATCTCTGAAAAATAGATACCTGTAGTCGTAACATATCCAGCTGAATGCTGAGATCCAGTGTCACTTCTCTCCCCACCGCATTATTCACTAGCAGCAAAAAATGTTTTATTACTTCCCAGCAGAAAGGGATGTACATTCCTTGTCTGTGTCACTTGTCAGCACCTTCTATCATTTACAGATGGCAGTTGCCTGAACAGAGCAGGGCAAAGCCTTGCATAAAAATAAGCACAGATGGCAAAGACTGCTGCCATGTTTTTGGAAAGTTCCCCTGATAGCCAAAGATGGCTCTTTCTAAGGGGAGATCAAAGTGCCTACAGAGAGCTGCTTAAAGGAAGCTAGATACATCTTTTCCACCTAATTTCTGACAGATGCTGTGCCCTGGCCACACTGAGAACAGCTCTCCTTTCTCCAGCCAGTTAACACCCCTGCCTCACCACATGCAGTGGTGCTGACTGATATGCATGGTGCACCTAGGGAAGCACCAGTGCACCTCCTTGGAATGCGGGTCTGCCGAGTGCAGGTGCTACAGAGTGCTCTCCTGAGAAGTATTTTCTGCTCCTTCCAGAGAGGATCCCTGGCGGGTAGCAAAGATGGTGAAATCCTACCTCCAACAGCACAACATCCCTCAGCGCGAGGTGGTGGACACGACTGGTCTGAACCAATCCCACCTCTCACAACACCTCAACAAGGGCACTCCCATGAAGACCCAAAAAAGGGCAGCCCTTTACACCTGGTACGTCCGCAAGCAGCGAGAGGTGGCCCAGCGTAAGTACAGCAGTAACTGTTCTGCAGTTTCCAACTTCATAAAAGCCTCTGCTCTCCCTTGCTGATCCTTACTGCACATTTCTATCAAGGAAAAAAATGCAGGAAAAGCCATTTCTGGAAGCAAGCTTAGAGAAATCCATGTCAGTATTCAGTAAAGTGAACCTAACCGCACATGGAAAAATGCCCCATCACAAAACAGCCTGCAGTTACCCACTCCACCCATCATGTTGCTAAAGAGATGCAAACTAACATTATTCATTTGCCATTGGAGCTTGAAATCCATCCTCACACTAAAACAGTGTGCCTGACACATCACAGACATTTTTCAGGCATTTCTGTCTGAGCACCAGGCTGGTACAATTTTCAGCTAAAGCAACAGTTCCCCTAGCTGCAAAAAGCAGCAAACTATTGTACTTGCTGTAACACTGCTGGCTATCACCTCACGCTCCAGGCCCTCTCTATACAGACACCCACTGGCAACCCATCACTGCAGCATGCAGTTCTATATTCAAGAACCTGTCTGCAATCTCTCACTTAACTTTGTATTCATGAGTTGCAATTGAAACAAGACTGTCAGCCTCTGGGTTGTTCTGAAGAGCAGGACCCCAATCATACTTACTCTCAAGCCTCCCACATCTGTTTTCACTTCCCCAGGGTGGGAGCTGAGATGCAATGCAAGTAAGAGAAGGGGTAGGTCACCACAGTCCTGCTAGGAACATCTTAACTGTTTTAGCAGATTACGGAACTTGATTTCTGCCCCTTCTAGATTCAGCCCTCTGTTTCCCATGACATTTCCTCTAAACTCCCTTGCCCTTTTGTGCCTGCAGAATTCACACATGCTGGTCAGGGGATCTTGACAGAGGAGCCCATGGGAGATGATCTGCCCACCAAGAAGGGACGAAGAAATCGCTTTAAATGGGGTCCTGCCTCACAACAGATTCTGTTCCAAGCCTACGAGAGACAGAAGAACCCCAGCAAAGAAGAGAGAGAGGCACTGGTGGAAGAGTGCAACAGGTAAAGAAGGGTGCCTGGATCTGAAGAATCGGAGCAGGGCCTCTGCATGCTTGGTGTGCCAAGGCCCACATGAAGCAGGCTTGTGGCATCAGCCACATTTGAATCGAGACTCGTGAGCATTCCTTTTGCTAAGGATGCAGTAATGCCCCACATCTTGCTGTACCCAGCAGGATCCTCCCCTGTGGTGTGTAAGACCGCCGTCACTTTGGGGTTGCACACGTACTGCGTGCCTTTGACCGAAGCAGACTCAGCAAAACTCTTTTTGTGCTTTCTCCTAACAGAGCAGAATGTATTCAGAGAGGCGTTTCCCCATCTCAGGCCCAGGGTCTGGGCTCAAACCTGGTGACCGAGGTGCGAGTTTACAACTGGTTTGCCAACCGCAGGAAGGAGGAGGCCTTCCGGCACAAGCTGGCCATGGACAACTTCAGCGGGCCGCAGCCCACCTCTGCTCCCCCTCTCACTCCTCACAACTCCTCCTCCCTTCAGCCGCCTCCTGCTCTCTCACCCACCAAAGTTCACGGTAAGAAGCAACCGGAGGGAGATCTGAAAGGGAGACAGCAAACCCGGCCCTTGACCTAAATGCCCAGAGACCAGCGTCCACAAATGCAACCGAGCTTAGCACTTGGTGAAGTGACTCGGTTTTAACACAGAGTTTCCCCCTGTTGTGATGCAGGAGTGAGGTACAACCAGCAGCCAGCCAGCGAGGCAGAGTCCTCCAGCAGCAACCACCACGGGAACAGCTCCATGGTGACCACCCAAACCATCCTGCATCAGGTTTCTCCCCCTGGGCTGGAGCCCAGCCAGAACCTGCTGAGCACAGACACCAAGCTGGTAAGTGACGTACACCAGAGTCCTGGCGACTAGAAGGTGGCCACAGGGGAGACGCTTCAGAAATGGTATTTCCTAGAATGCCCTTTAAAACAGCCATATTACAGATAGAGGACAACTGCCTTGCACTGACTTTGCAATATGAGAACTCTGGGGATACCCGTGTGCTCCAGACTGATGGGGGTTGGGATGACACGGAAGCACAGGCATTTTTTAATACTAACCCAAACAACCTGTTGTGGAAAAACAAGCAAACAGCACAACCAACACCAAAAGAACACAGCTCCAAGTGTGACATGATTTGACTTCCTTCCTCCCAGGAGGCTCTTTTCTCATCTCCCTTTCCCCAGTCACACTCATCACCTCTCTCATTTGAACACTGCATATCCCAAAAGAGTTGAGCAGATCCAATGAGATTAACAGATGAGAGAACAGTTACACCACTGAGACATGTACTGGATGTCCACACTGCAGCAACCTGCCTTCCTCAAAGCAAGTTTCCTTCTTTCCTTCCTTCCTTCCTTAAAAAAAAGAAAAAACAAACCAATTACTCTTTCCACTTAACTAGCAATTGAGCATTAGGGCAGCATGACTTGTCAGCTTCAGTTTCCACGTGCTCCCTTGCTAACAGGGTTGGCAGCAGTTTGCATTAGTGCACATTGGCCCATGGCAAAGATAAGTTCACCATAAATCAGTTTGATTTAAATCTCTGTTTTCCTATTTTCTCCTCAAAGAGTAAAGTCTTGCATGAGATGCTGAAAGTCTTCTAAAGCCATCTTCTAGAGCTGGTATTTGTTTGATAATTTGTCCCACCATTTAACCTGCTGGTGCTTGCTCTTAGTAAAGCATTCTTACAGATTTTTTTCTGAGGGGGAAAGAAAAAGTATAGTATAAATCACTGAAATTTCTCCATCAGCCAATTTATCTGAATGCCTTTTTGCCGTTCCACAATATTCCAGCTATAGATCTCTACAGGGCCTTGCAAGTTCAAACCCCATCAGAGCACAGAGAGGTGATGTGCTTCATTTCAGAGGTCAAGAAAACAGTCCAGTTATCAGATTTCTTGGTGTCTCAAGGTCACAGCCTAAATCAGCAAGACATCCAAGCACAGAATTTGTCCAACAGATATGCTCCCCCTTTAACAGCAAGGAACTGTTAACGTAGCCTGAAGAAAATATTTTACGAGGAAAAAAAGAACAACTAAGGAATATTTTCAGCAAGCCCTTTAAAATCTTAATCTGAAAACTGGCCACAAAAAGACACTCGCTGAGAGGAAGGGAAATTAAAGGCACTTCTCAGAGGAAGCAGTGAACAAGGAAAGAGGAACTCCTTGTTCCTTGTGAACTCCTTGTGAACAAGGAAAGAGGATTCTGTAGTGAATTCCTTCCGAATTTCTCTGGGCACAGCCCTCTTCCCTCAGTTGTGAAGCAGAGGACAAACTTTCCCTTCAAAGGGAGTGCAGTGGGACTGACCTCATCTGTGTTTGTACAGCCCTCATAGTCTTTAAGTACGAAAGAACTATAAGAGCAAGGATTTCCTCTTCATATTTCAACACCTGACCTTTGCTGGTTAATTGATGAGTATGAGAAAACAGAAAGACTGCAGACAAGCAAAGGTGAAGTCTTTCCAGTTAGCAAGGGGTCAAGGGCAGGCAGGGAGAGGTTGCTGACAGCTTTGGGACTCTCCACACTCAGCTTGCAGATGGCTTTTCCACTGTCCTTCTCTCACACAGATCTCAGCTCCCGGAGGAACTCTGCCCCCCGTCAGCACCCTGACTGCCCTGCACAGCCTAGAGCAAAACCCCCATGCGCTGGGCCAGCAAACTCAGAACCTCATCATGGCCTCACTGCCCGGCGTGATGGCAATCGGAGCTGGTGAGACCTCATCCCTGGCGCCTGCATTCACCAACACCGGCGGCTCCACCCTGGTAATAGGTGAGCAGTGTGCTTGGGGGGTTGTTGGCTCTGGTAACTCTGCCCATCAGGACTCTGGTGCAGAGCTACAGAGAATTACCTCCCTCACCCTCAGAGATAAAAGCACTGATTTGGCACTGAGACGCACCTGGGGAAATGGCCACAAACACTAAGGATCTTCAACTGCACTACTGACAAGGACCCGTGAAATTAAGGGACAGACATCCTTATTCATGTTAGAATCCAGTCACACAGAAACTCAAGTCTTGAGAGCAAGGGATTCTGTGATCTATTCCTACGCCAATGGTTTTTTTTCTACTGCTGTGCATCTTCCCAAATATAAACATAATGCCAGCTTTCAGTTAAGGGAATTTAAGCATGTTCACAGTGAAAGACAAAACATCCTGTTCTACTTCCTGCAAAAAGCACATGCAGTCATCACTCTTTTTTTTTTTTTTTTTTTTTTTTTTTTTTTTTACTTTTTTTAAATTTTTTTAATTTTTTTTACCTCAACAGTTTTTCTGGACTGCTATCAGATTTCTTTTCACTCCAGGAAAAACCAACTGCCAAAATGCATCTCATTAGAGAAAGGAGAATAAAATGTGTGCTCTCTTCTTACCCTTTCTTCTCTGGAAGAAAGAGGTCCTGTTTGTCAACAACCATGAACCAATTTCCACGTCCCAATTTATAGCCAACATTATGATATTGATTCCAATTCTGTGCTAGCCAAGAAGAAGAATAATTAAAAGAGATTTCCACAGTGTAAACATTCTCTCAGTGCTAGAGAGGCTTGATGAATAGGGTGTAGGAACACACCCTACATATCCAGGAATATGGTACAGACAGAGATGAGTACTGATGAGTGAAACCTTCTGCCTTTCTCACTGGTTCAAATTCCAGAATTCAGCAGCCCAAACAAAATGAGCTTAAACTTCATTCCGTGTGGCTGGGCAGCTGCAGCACAGTCATCTGTTACCTACAACTTAATATAAAAGGAAAGAATAAAGGAATGAGACACTGAGATGTTGCCCTGAGTTCACTTCTGAGCGAGGACTCCCCAGTGGAAATCTACATCATGTTATCACTTAAGTGGGAAGCGATCTGTACTGGTACAACAGGAGGCACTGCAGGAACAAACACAGGAAGTCGGAGGAGCTTTTTATAGTAGCTGCCTGCATTATTCCTTTTGCACTTACCTGCTTCATTTTCATAGGCATGAAATCTACTCCCAGTCACAGCAAACAAAGGGGTTTCCTGCAAAGCAGAATCTGATCCCACTGCTCCGACAGAACTGCTGTGACTGCTTCAGAGGCTCCTGTTGCAGAGCAGCCGCTCCTCCCATAGCGTGCAGCGCCGCTGTCATCACTCCTTGTTTTTCAGGCCTGACTTCAACCCAGCCCCAGAGTGTACCTGTGATAAACAGCATGGGGAGCAGCCTCACCACCCTGCAGCCAGTCCAGTTCTCCCAGCAGCTGCACCCGTCCTACCAGCAGCCCCTCATGCAGCAGGTCCAGAGCCACATCAACCAGAGCCCCTTCATGGCTACCATGGCCCAGATACAGAACCCCCATGGTAAGAGTGCAAACTCATTTGCTCATACAAAACAAAACACTTTGTTCTGGAGCATTTGCTGGCTCTGAAACTTAATTGCTATAATTATGAAATTATTTTCCTCTTGCATTCATCCTCCTGCCCCTCCGTTCCCAGTATTTCAGAGACAGGCAGCAGGTCTGCGCACACAAAGAGAGAAACTCAGCCAAACCAACCTCACGCAAAGCTCCAGCTCCCACATGATCTTGTTGGGTTTTTATTTTTTTTTTTGTGTACAGCTCTCTACGGCCCCAAGTCTGAAGTGGCCCAGTACACACATACAGGCCTCCTCCCACAAACCATGGTGATAACAGACACAGCCAATCTCAGCGCGCTGACTAACCTGACACCAACTAAACAGGTAACAGCCTTAGCACGTGTGTCCCCCCCACCTTACAGCTGCATCAGTCTGCTGGGAGCTCCTTGCTTCTCAAAGAGCTTTTGGGTGTGTGGTCAATGCCATCCCAGCAGAACGATCTCATCTCCTTGCCTTGCTGGAGACACTAGAGCAAGCTTCTCACTGCACCATCAAGGATTTAATCTCCTTGGAAACAGCACCTGCTCATTCTTTCTAATCCTCTTCCCCCACGTCTGTTAGTAGGGATGAAGAAACCAGGCTCTGTTAACTCTTTTCTCCAGGCATTCACATCTGACTCAGAAACCCACACAGACTCTGGGATCCATACACCAGTATCACAGGCACCAGCGATACACCTACAGAACCAAGACACAACCATCCAGCACCTTCAGTCTGGTCCTCGCCTCACCTCAAGCCCTGCTGGTAAGAGGAGCAGCCACTTGCTCTCTTAAACCATATATTGCAAATAGGTGCACGTGTGAGGAGGGGACTGCACTGGCTATTTGTACTTAACTTCTACCTGTGCTTTTAACAGTGTCCTCCAGCAGCCTGGTGCTGTACCAGAGCTCTGACTCCACCAACAGCCACAGTCAGCTGCTGCCATCCACCCATAACGTCATTGAGACCTTCATCTCCACGCAGATGGCATCCTCCACTCAGTAACACCAAGACAACCACCCAAAGGGAGCTGCCAGGACAAGGCATAAGGCACAACTCCAACTGTGTTTGCCGTCACCGTCACCACTGCCTTCCACTGGAAGGAATGGTTGCTGCAGTCAGCCAACCTCCAGCCCCTACTGCCTCATAAATCCCTCATTCAGCTGCCTCCAGAAGAGATGGCTCAGGCTCAGAGCAGGAGCTATGGAACAGTGGTGCCGGCACTGATAGGATCTACAGACCCCCAAAACCAAACCCAACCCCACGAGCCAGCCTAGAATGACCAGACATCCTAGTGGATGCTGAAGGAGTGCTATAAAGTCAGAGATCTGACTGGAATACAGCAAAAAAATGCCAAGATGTATGTGGAACTTTGGTTCTGCTCACCTTCACTAGGTTGGACCTGTACAAACCTGCCTACACCAAAGTAAGCCATGCAGAAAAGAGAAAAATTGAGCTGTCAAAAAAGGGACACCATCTTTAAAGCACTCGCCTCCTCCTTTGATGTAAGGAAACCTGAATTGGAATTATGAGAGATAATATCAACTTGGAGGCAAGAGTGAGAACCTGGCTTCTGACTTTGCAATGAAAGTCACCAAGAAACTGGATCAGGAATGGCTCAGCAAAAACCTGTCAGTACAAGATCATGGACTACAAGCTGTAAACCCCTTAATTAACTACAAAATCCCAAACATTCTCAGTTCAAAATGACCTACTCTAAAATCATGCTATCCTAGTGGAAATGGCTTGGTTACTTTTTTTTTTAATATATATAGCTCTGCTTTGTTTTAAATGCAGAAATTAAAGTTTAACAGCAGCAAGGAGACTTCAGCTCTCTGCATTAACCACGTGGATGCTCATCTCACACGTTCTGCTGAGCGACCCAGGGGTGGCGTTCCCCACAGGTCCCTGACACTGCACAACATGCAGCAGGGCTCCATGCTCCACAGACAGCAGTAGTTCCCTCAGTTCTCTGTAACAATGCCAACTTGGATGGATGTTATAGAACACTGTTCACTCCTGCCTTCCCTGTAGGATAGATTCTGTAGTTCCTGATATGAAAATAATTCCCCTGGAGTCGAAAAGCCTTCTTTGCACTAAATGAAAACTTTCTACATACATAATTCCTCCTCTAATTATTCCCCTCTTCTTTATCTACTCTGAATTTTTATATCACTGACATGGCATACGAAAAGCCCCAGTTAACATGTTTTTGCCATTGTGATAAGGGCTGTTCTTGCTACTGTGAGCAGGACAGTAGAACATGCTCAAGATTCTGAACAGATTAAGATACATGGAACAATTAAAAAACAGTGAACTCTTTGGTTATCATGCCTGGAAATTTCACTATTGCAGATAACATAACACATAACAGTTTGTGCCTGCAAGAGCTTCCTCTAGATACCACCAAGCACCAGAAATTAATTTTGGTAACTAGGTTCTCCAAGGAATTCTATGCAAGGATGATTTCCTAATCGCCCACGTGCATTACTTGCAAATCAATTTTAACTTCCATTCACAAAAAGCAGAAACAAAAAAACATATAAAACAAGGCAAAAAATGTTATGCATTTGACATTCGAGGTGCTAGCTTCAGTACAGTGAAGCTTTAACTGGCCATAAAACAAATAATTTTGGTCAGGTCCAGATTACTTCCAAGCCAATTTTCTATTCCATCCATTTTTTGGATGCCAAGTGTGTTCTCCTGAGTGACAAACAGCAAGGATCTTAGAATAGGAAGGAAAACACCTTGTTTCCTTCCTGTGTTCAAAGAGCATCAGCGCACTATTTTGGTTTCTCTAATCCAGCTTTTAGGTCTCCTGAACAGAGCCAATGAATTAGACCTACTGAAACTCAACAGGAGCAGAGTATTGATCCAAGTAACAGGCTGTTTCTTGGAATAGTGCAGCTGAAACAGGCAGATTAAGAGCTATGCTAAGTACCAAAACCCACTGCGTTTCACAGACAAAACTCATATGAAACAGAACAAGGTCTGAAACTCAGCAACTGAGATTTAAGTATTTCCTGTACCAATTTCACAGCATTGATCAGCAATCAAACAAAAAGCTTCAGCCCGTTTTGTCTCTGCTGGGGGAACTATTGAACACAAGAAAGCTGCTGTCCCACAAACCTGCCAAATTAAATAAGACTAATAGTGAATAAGAATTTAATAACAAAAAAAAAAAACAGAAAACACTCTAAGAGAAATTCAGAAGGATGCAGAACTGCTGGTTTTGAACAACCTCAAAATAAGCTCACTGCTTTGTTTATGCACAGGGGCCCTGGAGAGGTGTGGACTACAGAGGGATCAGTAACACGGCAGGTTACAACAGCAGATCCTTCTGATAATCATAGAGGGGGAAAAAATGGAGGGGGGCAGGGACTAACATCTGGTAATGCTTTTCAATAAATGAGTTTCCCACAGGCAAATCAAAGCAAAAAAGAAGTTGACCACCTGCTGCCACGTAAACCAACTTCAATTCATCATATGCTTTCTCCAAGAGACAAGATTTGGTTTCAGCATGTGAGAGAACAGATCAGAAGGGATGCAGCCATGATTACACCCCTCCACCACACTGGTCTGTGTACAGTATTTAATCCTTTCGCGCTAGGACTGCAAGCAGCAGCACAGATAACTGCTGTGCTAGGAGAAAAATGCTCCCCAAGGGAGGTCAGAACATAGGAAGTCACTTTAATTAGACTCCCAGGCCACAGAGCTTTTACAACAAAAGCTTTGCAAATTAGTTCTCCCTCATCTGCAGTAACTGCATTTGTTTTTTCCCAGCATTCATCACAATCACCTGCCCAAATGCAGAGCAAAGCCTTTATTCCCTCTCTTTCTTCTTTTTCTTCTTCTTCACAGCTCCTGGTGACGCTGTGTTGTTATCTGTATGATTGCTGTCCTGTCTCTTGTGTTGTCCATTTGCAGAATCCAATCGTGGCAAATCTCTGCTGTCCTGGTCACAATCTGCTGGGTCTATTACTTTCTCTTCAGTTTTGTTCTCTCCCTTTATTTTCTTATTCTTCTTTTTCTTCTGTCTGTGCTCCACATAACCCTGACATATATTCTGGCTGGAATCCTGGGACAGTGCAGGAAAAGCACTTTGCTTCAGAATGTCTGCTGCTGACACAGCAGCCTCCTGGTACTTTTGCCACTCTTGGTCACTGTCTGAGTCACTAGAAAGGTAATGAAAGGGAAGGAAATTATGCTACATGTTTGCCTTGAATTCATCCAAAGCATTGAAAGCAGAACTAAGATCAGAACAGGGAATGAACAGTTAGTGGATCCAGGATTCCAATGCTTACAGTCAGCATTTAAAATTGTTTACATCTCCTATTTGTATTATAAAAAGAAATAAAAAAATAGAAAGAAAAGAAAGAAAAGAAAATGGCTGTTTTCAAGTATCAGTCATATAAACACACCACTTAAGCTCTTCAACCTTCTAATCCCACGGGAGAGTTTCTGCTGCCTCTGAAACATGAAAACAAGGGCTGGAACAGCACTTGAGGAGCAAAGCAGCTGACAGCACCTCACCTGGAACAAGGTGGCCGTCTCCTCCTTGGGGCAGGGCTTTGCTCTGATTGCCCACAGCCTCCTGGGACAGAGGAGGAGAAGAGGCGAAAACCTAAAATATGTATTTAGAAAGGAATTTTAGCCAAAATACGGAATAAGTGAGAGCAATCCACAACAGTCTCCCTAGGACAGCCTGCTGCTGCTAACAGATGGCTATACTTGATAACAATCATCTGTCAGTCTGCAAAGTTAGGACACAACAGTCACGACAAGGAAACGGCCTGATGCTAATAAACGCTGTGCTAGTGCTCTTCAGCCAGTAAAGAGCTAGAACTACAACTGGCACTGAACAGGATCCATCTCACTTGCTATTATTTGATTAACTGCATCAGCAAATGGCCACGACTCGGATGTGACATGACTAGGACTCACCATCATCTCCACAGTCAGACTGCTGCACACAAGCTGGTGAAGGTCCTGATGAATCCTTCAAGACAGTGATGAAACTAAACAGAAAACTCTGGTTAGATGTTAGATAGGTTTGTACAAACTGAGCTAAAATTGGAAATTCATAGGAAACGAGACCAGGGTGCTGTTATGGTTTCTTTTTTTTTTTTTTTAGTGAAGTTTCAATTCCCTGCTTGCAGAGCAGACCGTGCCTCCTCCCCTCAGCAACATATGCCACAAGAATGACTTAGTTCTAACAGCCAACTTTAAACACCAGGAATTCTAGTTCCAAGGGTGATATTTACACACATAACAAAGACAGCAGCAGGCCCAGACAGATGCATACTGCCAGTAAAATCCTGAACCGCGTACAGCTTTAGGGTGCAAGAGAGGAAGGCTCTTATGTTTGCCTTTAAATGATGATATGGTACCCAAATTCTTCTTCTTCCTCTCTACAATGCATTTACAACTGAGGTAAATGGAGACTGGCAGTGTTACACAGGAAGTCATTACCAGAAGGACACAACAGGTGAGCCAAATTAGTTCACAGAACATTGGAAGTTTGCATTAAATGCAGAAATGAAGGAATTGAGAAGAAAACAATTTCTTCAAGTTGCACTCAAATCTTTAATTTCTTGCTTTTAGCACACAGAAGCATCACTGCACTCTACCCATACAACAAGCCTTTTTAGTATGACATGCCAATACCTGTCCAGCATTGCTCCCAGTTTCTTTGCAACATGTGCTCTGAACTCTGGTGTGGTCTGTAGCTTATTTCCATCCTCATCGTGGTCATTCACCTCACGTCTGTTTAAAATAAAATAATGATCACCTCCTTCAAGAGCAATAACATCCAATACTCTCACTCAAACAGGAGATAGGGGGCTGTAAAATCTCCTACCCTGCAGTAACTAATTCATGTTGAGTTGATAAGGGACAACTGCCAAGTAAAGCAGAAGAGCTCAACAGTTCAGCTCCGAACAATGAGCTAAACATCATCCAGCCACCTCCCTGAAAGTAATAGGATGATTTTCTCATTGAAATAGCCTGCAAAAGCAAACAAATGATGGCAGGACACCCCTTCTCTGGTAGGAGCTTCTTGAGTACATTGCCACAATTCACGCAAAATCTGTCCCAGGAGAAAGGATGGCACTGAGCCGCAAGGCTGACAGCTTTTGAAACCAAGCCTGCAGAAATGCTGCAAGCTTACACAGCTCAGCACCCCCTTTGTTACAAGGCACTTAATTCAGACACTGCTTTCCCACCCAACAAACGATTGGCTTTACAATCACACTGCTATTATTTGCCCTTCTGTATATAACCCTCCATTCTTTAAATGAGAAGTTTTGTGATACATAACTATTAATTTTTGCGTGGCAGGGGCATGGAAGAATTAGAGCTTTTCTGACAACTTGAACTCATGCTGAAACTGCCAGCAGACATTTATTTTCAATTGCTTTTGCTTCACTGTTAGAGGGATGAGGAATATACTTCCAAAATAACTTCATTAATTTATTAGAATTAAGCATCACTGCAGATTACAATTGTACCAAAGGCCTTCCAGTACGAGGCAACGTAAGGCATTAAGTAGCACACCTCAGGTTTTTCTTCACCAAAACACAACCCCGACGTCCGCAGAGCAATACCTTAGGCTGGGCCGAGCAGCCTGCCGCTGATCCTTTGGAAATCCGCCTGCCAAAGGAAGGACTACATGAGAAAGAGCTGCGGCCAGAGCCCGGCACAAGCAGGGCACAGCCAGGGCACAGCCCGGCCACCGCCTCGCCCCTCACCGCCTCGCGGCTCCGCCCGCCCCGCCGCCTGCTGCTTCGCGCAGTCCCAGGCCGCCTCCCGGAACCGCGCTGCCGCCCCGCCGCTGCTCTCCGAGTCCGAGCTGCTGTCCGCGCTCGTGCCGTCCCTGGGCGCCGCCATCTTGGAGCCGCAGAGTATGCCGGGCGCTGTAGTCCTCCCGCCGGTCCGCCGGCCGCGGGGCATGCCGGGCGCTGTGGTCCCGCGGCGCGGCTCCCCACGAGATGGCCGCGGCTGGCGGCGCGCGCCGCCTTTTCGGAAGCGCTCCACCGGGACCGCGGCTCGCGTCCGTCCGACGGCCCATAACTGCTGCCGGGTGCGGGTGGTGCGGTGCCTGCGTTCTCGGCTGTAACAGCACGTGCCGGTAGAGGGTGAACACAGACCGATAGTGTCAGAAAGACGGCGTCGCTTTTGTGCTTTTAGAAACAGGCAGAACGCTTGGCAGTAAGGATCGAGGGAGGCGGCCCAAGGCTCTGCCCGTTGGCACGGAGGGACGCGTTTCGGGCATAAGTGGTTTCCCACCACTTTGGTGCTGTATTGAAAACTGAAAACTGAGGTGAGCCGGAGGTCTTGGAAACTGCTCCTCTTATGGGACAAAGGCAAAAAGCCACAGATAAATGGGAACTCTTGCATGGCAGTGTCAAGGAACAGCATTTCCAAATGCGATTTAATACTGAATTAAGGTACAGTTATGTTGAAAATACTTGTAAAATGGAGACTTGATGAGAAAAGTGCTGATGTGAAAATTAGTGTGTTGGATTCTTCATCTATGTATCTCTTTGCTAAGAGAATTCTAGGAGGGGCTCTATACACAGCATAAATATTTGGAGCCATAAGTATGGTGTGAGCCTTGTGACTTAGGTCATGAAAAATGACGAAATCCAAGTCATTTATTCTCATGCCCATCATGAGAGTGAACCAGCAGCCAGCCTATGGGGTGTCTTGTCCACATCTAATCAGTTACTGGCTGCCAGCTACACTGAAAAATGATGCACATAACACCATGAGAATACACATAAACAGCACCTCCCCATTACAAAGGTGATGCTGACTTCTTTGAAAGCTGATTTCCTTGCTCAGCAAGGCAAGTATCCCCTGGCATCACTTAAAGCCATTCAGTTTACATTCACTGTCACTGGCTGAGAGTTACTGAGTGTTCTGTGTATGTTCCCCACCTGAATACTATTTCAAGTAAATTTGTTCCTGTTAACCTTATTTTAAACAAGATTAACATTTACATTCTGTTCTTGTACGCCATTCTTTCCACTCATTCAATCTTACTGATTCTCCATCTCTGGATCTTTTCCATTTTAAGAAGAAATTGGAACAAGGGAAAGAAGCAGAATGAAGGAACTGTAAATAAAGCATTATAGAAATTCATAATTATATTTAATTCTTCTGAGATATAAAACATAAAGAGTTAAAATGAACACTGGGGATTGAAAGTATTCCCTGGCTATGTTGAATACAGCATTGCTTCTTTCCAGGCTACTTTTGTTATCATAAAATACCCAAACAATAAAGACTATTCTGAGCATTGCTCTCACTCATGATTATAATACCCCAAACAACTTCACTTATACTGAAATGCCTTTGACTGTAGACTTACATGCTGACTACTCTAAGCGTGTCCAAATTTCAGAAGTTTATCCTTCTTTTAATCAGCATCTGGAGGATACATTTACGCTTCTGGGGTCCCATTAACCTCTCACTCATTTGATACTATATTGAGATGCCAAATTTTTGCTTACATGCTGAAGCTGTGCCAAGCCATGCTGCTTTATCTTCTCAGCTAAGGAAATGTTCACAGGCAGCAAACACACAGCTAGTGTTGCTAGGACAGCTTCACAGAGCCTGTCCTAGGCCACAGGCACTGCTGCTTTTGGACATGAGCTTCACCAGCACCACAGCTACAAGTTTCCCACTGCAGTACACCAAGTGTGTGGCAGTTCTGGCAGTGCTGCTGGATCACTACGTTGATACAAGCTTTACCGAGCCGATGTGCTACTGGAAGCAGCACGAAGGCTCAGCACAGCATACTTTTACACTGAGCAATTCCCAGCTGGCACATCTGGACCTGCCGTGAGACCTGTGTATTCCCAGGCCTCAGACAGCATCCCTGGTCTCTGTAAGAAAGGCTCCTTCGGCATTAAGCCCCACTGATTACTTTCACTCCCTTAGCTCGCCTCTAGTGGGAGGGCACTGGGATTCGGGCTGGGATTCCCCGCACCTTCAGGTGCACGCAGAGCCGCAGTGCTGTCACGGCAGCGTGTGCCCGGCAGGGACAAAGCCCGGAGGTGCCGCCTCGGTGCCTCTTCCAGCTGACAGCTCCTCAGCGCCGGGCCCGTCCTCTCCTCCTCAGTTTCTCACAGCTAAATAAATAAATACCTCCTCAACGCTCTTTGCTCCCTTCTCGGAGCAGCTCTTGCTCAGACCGCGGCACTCCGCACCCCTTCGCGCAGCCTCGCCTCCGCTTTCCTTTCTCCTCCTCTCCGCCCGGACATTCGCTGCCGCGGATGACGCGCAGCCCGCGCTCGTCGCAGCGGGAGGCATCGGGACACAGCGCCCGGCGACGAACGGGCTGCGGGGAGAGCAGAGCCGAAAGTCACACGGGGAGCCGAGGCGGCGCTACGCGGCGGCTGAGCCGGCTGTGCTCCCCGCGGTGCGGCCGGGACAACTTCGGGACGGCTCGGTGAGAAGCTCCGTAGGACGGCACGGTGGCACAGCTCGGTGCGGGCGGAACGCGGCCCCGCGGAGCGGCAGCGATAGGCCGGTCCCTTCCGCCGCGCCGCGCTTCCGGGGCGATCAGGTGACGGCGGCCGCGGGCAGGGAGCGGCTCTGCGGATCGCCGAGAGCGCCGGTGAGCACGGGCGGGCGGGTCTGGGTTCGGGTCCGGATTTGGATTCGGGCCCGGCTGGAGGCCAGGGGGCGGGGGGAGCCGAAGCCGGGACGCGGCGATTCCGGAACGCGAGGATCGGGCCGGTTCGTCACCGGGGCGACCCGGAAGGCCGGAGCCGTTCGCGGCCGCTGTGACCGACCGGGACGGGGGACGCCTCGGCAGCCTCGGCCCCCGGGCCGGTGTCGGCAGCGCGGGGTGGGTCCGGCACGGGTTTCGCTCCGCTCCGCCGGGCCCGCGGCGCCGCCCCTCCTGCCCGACCTCCGGCCCCGCCGCCGTGCCGAGCCCGCGGCCGCCTGACGGCGCTCGGTGGCGGAGCTCCGTGCTTCCCAGGCCGCGTCCGGAGCCCGCAGCGCAGCACCCCTGGCCGCTCCCGCCTGGCTGCGGGCCGGGCCGCCAAACAGCTGCCGAGTGCCTGCTCTCGTTGCCCCGCGCTTACCGAACCGCGGCCCCGTTCCTGTTTGCTCACGTAGCGCTGCTAACGCGGTCAGCCTGCTTACAGATCGTTCGGTGTTTTACATAACACCAGGCCAGGAGAACGCTCGCTCCTTTACCCAACTGCTTCTATCGGTGCTCTTTCTTGTTTAATTTTCCCCTTTAGACTTATTGGTAAGAGAAGAAAATCTTTGTTTCGACATTCCTAGGACATTTTCTCAGAGTATCACATTTCTGTGGAACGACTTATAAAGGAGAATTACATAGTTGCTTTTCTGCTAGCTTGTCTCAGCGTGGCACAGTGGTGAGGTGCACTGGTGAGCTGTGTTGGCTTCTTCCAGCTGCTCACAGAGCTGTTCAGCAGGGCTGTACCCCAGCAGCGCCTGTCATGCAGCCCTGTGTTGCAGAATCCCAATTAACAAAATGAGGCCAAGCGAGGGCACGCTGCTCTGTCAGACAAATGGGTGCTTCTGAACGGTCAGACGATGGCACAGATTTGGATCCCGGGGCTTTATGGTGCGTGGTGCTGCCCGGGTTATGGGAAGTGAAAAGGTGGATTTACAGGGAATGTTTCAAAAGGGTTAAAATATCTAAGTGGCGCAGAGTAAAAATGTAACAAGATATAAAAGTGCCTTTAATGATTAACAGCGTGCCTTCAGTCACGTATCTGCTAACATCTACCTTAAAATGACTGTCAAGAAGTAAACGTACCTTTTTCTGGACGCTGCCAACAATTATCAGCTCAGATCATCTGTGGCTTTTACTTGAAGTCCAGACAGCTGTAACAGGTTAAGAATCAGATTTCTGTTAACCCTATGAACGAGAAGTATTTATATAAATTCTGTCAGTATTTTTGATAGGAATTCTGATGTTAATTTTCCTTTTCTGTAACGTATGTATCCAAAAAAATGATATTACCACTGCAGTAATGGGAAAAACTGACACATCTTCCTTTCCATTAAAACAGCAGGAAGTCGACAAACTAAATCAGAGCTCGTTTCAGAAATGAATGAAGGCTGGATTGTTTCAGAAGTCCCAGATAAAATAAGATTCATAAGCAAAAAAGGGTGGAAAAGTGTCTTTCTCATCGAATTTAAATTTAACAATGCAGTATTTCATTGTTATGTGTTAGATGTTGGGAAAAGAAACAAGTTTCAAGTTTTATCAGTAAACCAACCAGTCCTACGGCCTCACTGTTTTTTGTTTTGTTTTGTTTTTTTCCCCTTACTGCTTACAAAAGATTAGAAATGAAATACTTAAAACATTCTGATGTTGTAGTGCTCTGAACATATATTCTGCAGGTGTTTCACTCTAATGACATCAGCTTCTCTCTGTCTCTGTTCAGTTATCGTTCACCTACTCTGCTCTGTTTCCAATGGAATATTTTCTGTGTTTTAATTTACAATGGAAACTCTCCCAGTCTGTCTTGAACAGCTTCTCTTGTATTTCTAGAGTCAGGTCAGTGTATTTTAGCAAACACAGTCACTTTGTGAGCCCAGAAATACGGTCTTTTACAGTATCCATCGGGCTTACATTTACCAGTGTGCAGCTCCTCCCGCTATATTTACAGATTCGTTTTTGGGGGATTTGAGTAACATTCCTTACTGCCTGTCAGTGACATTTTTATTACTACACAGACTGGTTTCCCACACTTACTTCCTTCAGGGTCCACCTGCTGCTCTCAGTTGCCATGGAACGCTCAGGTCTTGGTGCACCATCTGCTTCTTGGAGCTCCGGCTCCAGCTCTGCCAGCTGCGCTTGCAGTTTCAGCACCTTGCTGGGAGTCCTGCTGGATCCCTAACATGTACCTTCATTTCCATGTCTTCGCCTCCCGCCAGGCTTTCTTTAGTTGAGGAAGATTGCTGAAGCTGGCTTGCTTCATAACCGTTCACCTGTTGGCACTCTTGGTGCTCTGGATGCGGTGAATGCCAGTGATTCTGTGGCTTTTGGAGCAGCCTGTTGGGATATTATAGGGGTTATGATTACAGTGAAATAAACAGCTGGTATAAATGGCTTATAATTAGCAAAGGCAGTAATTTCCTGCAAATATATAGAGAGCAAAACAAGAAAGAAAAATAAGATCTTTGAATGCTTGCAGTTAGATCACAGCTGATTTTTATGTGCTTTCACTTGTTTGCAGCTCGTGCTCCTAGGGTTGATTTGGAGAGCTGATCAAAGATGAGGGTTTAGCAAACCTAGACTGGCATCTGTCCGGTCATTGCTCTCTAAATTCTGTTTGCTTAACCCCAGAAGTTGTAGAATGTGCCAGTGCACTCGCAATCTTCATCCTGAGCTCTAATTCATGCAGAAAACAGGGTCTGTTTGGCCTGCTGTGTGTCTCCCTTCCAAGTTCTTGGAGGTTAACTTGGAGGGAGCCTTGGAGTTTAACTAGGCTCAGGTGCCATTTCAAGAGTTTGGAGTTTGTTTGACATTTGGAACAAGTTGAATTTGCAGTTGAACTCCTACTTGAGCATTCAGATTGCATTGCAAGTAATGCAGCACACAGTGAGTGCACGTTTTAGTCACTCAGTGCCACTTCAGCGTGCATCTTTGTAAGCGTGCAGTGTGCTTTGCAGGTGAACAGACGTGGACAGCACTTGCTGGGGACCTGGTTATGTTAAACAGCAGTCCATAGGGAAGAGGAAAGCACTGTGAAGGTTTTTCAGGATAGCATTATTTATTTTTTATTGTTGCATTTTGATATATTTTCGACAGTTCAAATCATTTAAATCCTAATAGGTTATCAAGCTCAGTAAGCCTATGGAGAAAGAATTAGGAGAGGATTCCAGGGCAGAGTACCATAGACCTTCTAGGAGAGAAAACTCATTGCCTGTCACATTGTATTATTTCAGTCTTTTTTTGTCTCAGCTGTCTTTATTCCATTGCAATAATGATATCCTTATGGGTTTCTCAGTGTATTTCTTCATAAGTTGCTGTTGGTCTTTGTTTGTTTTTTAATTATTTTTCTCACAGTTACTAAGGGCTGTGAGTTGGTTGTTTTGGGTTTGTTTTCGGTTGTTTTTTCCATCAGATGTTAGTGAAGATGAAGATATTATCTGTGTATTTCTGGTGTTAAAGATAGGGCATTGAATTTGGAGAAAAGAACATTGCTTCCCACATGAGTACAGAAGTTAACTTATTTAACTTGTGCATGGTTGCCTTTTGTGCCCAGGTGTGAGAACCAGGCATCTCTTGTGCCTGTTCCATAAAATCATGGTGGTGTTTCATGTTTTGAACCCTTTGGTTCTAGGAGGACTTTCTTAATGTTGATATTAATTGCCAGCACATATGGATAGGTCTGAGTTGGGAAGTTTTCAAGCATTACTGAGCAAGACAGATGGGAGCTACCAACAGTTCTGGTAGTAGGGATGTGTGAAAACTCTAGGCTTCCTTACTGTGTTGTTTGTCATCTGGCAGCGTTTTCATCTGCTTGGAACTACCATGAATGTTAATTTAGTACAGTGCAGGACCTTGCTGCTGAGCTCACTGAAATGATGGTGTGAAATGCTAAGCAGTGCTGAAAGCAGTGTGTGTTAAAGTGCAGCATCTGTGAATGCTGAGCTGCCCTTCTGGGACGCTGTGCAAAATGATGTAACTGAGTGAAAAGGCTCTGCAGGAATAAATCTCATCTTCTCCCTTGTTGTAGCTCAGTGTCACCACAGCAGAACTTTCATGAGGCTTGTGCATGAAGCTTACTTCACTGTGTGGTTGGATTGTGTTGTATGGAAAAGGGTTTTGACTGTAACAGCTACAGATACTGAGGTTTTGTTTTGCTGTCCTGAGCCTGTGCTTCAGCGCTGCTACGAAGAGGGAACACTTAAGGAAGCTTTGAATGTTTCTGGGGTAAGTTTGCACAGTATTTAGCTTCTGAAAAATTCAGGTTCCCCTTTTCAAATGCTTTACTGTTTGTGCTTTGGCAAAAGGTTCAGATAGTCGCCTGCTTCTCTCTCACAGCCTATTCTAGGTGTTCACATTCCTGCAACAGAGAAGTTGTTGCTACTGAAGTAAAAGAAATGGTGTCTTTGATAAATATGATGATACTAAAGAGAGCTGAAAGCGTGTCAGTTCAGTAATTTCTACGTTGCTGCTATGATTGTTAGAAATGTTTGATTGCTCTGCAGTATGACTGGGTGAGCTCATCTTTCTCTCAGCAGATGGCATTTATGAGAAAATACCATGGCTTCGTTTTGACTGTGGACCTCAGTTTCTTGTCAGTAAGTTTAAGATACAGGCCATGTGATAAGTCAGGTCCTACTGCAGGATTTTAAAGTAGCTTAGCCAAGGGAGATCTTTTTTTAGAAGCTACATTAAACTAAAACCATCAACAATAGGATTCAAGTGCTTCTTAGGTAAATTACTGCTAGTTTGAATAAGGACAGGAACGCAATGCTATAATGCCAATAACGTGGGTATTTTTTTCCCTTTCTCACTGTTAGGATTCCAACAGGAAAATTTTCTTGCTCTTGTGTCTGGGGAGCTCCTCAGGATGGCAAGTAAAGGACCTACGACTTCTGCATCAACAAAGAGCTCCAGTGCTGGAGGGACCAGTGGCAGCAGCAGCAGTAATGGTGCTGGGGACAACACTAATCAGGACAACACTTTTGAGTGTAACATCTGTTTAGACACTGCCAAGGATGCAGTTATCAGCTTGTGTGGACATCTCTTCTGGTAAGCACACAAGTCCCCTCTGATAAACAGAACACCGTGCATCTCTGTGATCACCTTCTGTTTATAATCCTATTGAATAAAAATGAGTTTTTGTCATAAAGTAAGGACCGTGGGTTTGGGTTAGAAGCAGTTTGGGTTTGCCTCAGAACTGTTTTTTATCTTTTAAATGCCCATGTTCCAGGAAGGAAGTTTTTTGCATCTTAATCTTCTTATATCTTCTTATAAACTTACCTTCTTTTTTCTTATAAACTTATACCTTCTTTTGTAAAAGCAAAGCCCTTTAGAAGTTGATTGGTTACATTTGTTATTTGCTGTGTGCTGGCTGGGCTAGCATAGATACCTTTTTCACACCTAAATTCCTTACAGTTTAAAATTCCTTACATACTTACAACCCCATCTGACAGCAGGTTCTAGATGCCAAATTGCAGTCTTTTCTTTTGAGGGAACGTGCTTTTCCATGTGATCTGCTTCTCTTTTCCATCTCAGCTTCTTATTTAGGTAGCATGGTCTAGAATACACTCTTGAACATTAAAATGCTATGAAAATTGACATGGGTAATTTGTTTTATACAGCAGTTTAAATTATGCTCATTAATTAAACGAGGCCTAAAAGAGCATTTCTTTTCTGTGCTAATGTATGTAGTGTCTAAAGGTACAGGTCTTTATTCTAAAGGAGATGGGAATTAATTTGCTGAAGTCATATTAACATTAAACTATTGGAAGGTCTGCTATCACGGAATGGAGCTTAAAGAATAGAACCTTAAAGAATAGAATGTATCTTGTCTGAACAGTGTTGCAAAGGCCACTCTGGAAGCAGATGGCTGCTGAGCAGTTTTAGCTTCTGTTTCTTTTCTTTTCTTTCCTTTGGGTACTTCAGTTGCTGTGTTAATTTAAGCTCAGGAGTAGTTCTGTATAATGGGGAGCAAACTGGATCTCACAGCTGGCCCTGTTTTAAACAACAGATTAGACAAGAGGCAGCCTGAGGTCCATTCCAGCCTCAATTATTCCACAGTTCTACGGAAGTGCCCAATGTTTTAACATCTAACAGATGACTCTCATGAATTCTATTAAGATCCTGGAGTCTCATTACTGGCATTTTTCTCATTTGCATCTTAACTCAGGGATATCTTTCTATGAGATCAGAAAAGAACATTTGCAGTAAATACCACAAGATGAATTAAGCCTTTGTCTGGGGCTTTGGTGTAGATGAAGGTGCAGGAATTAAAGGTGATGTGGAGATGATCATGTTAGCAACGTAGTTAAATTGCATAACCTGGAGATCGGGCTTGGGCTGTGCTTTAAAAATTGCTTTAATGGGAGGTTATGGAACTGGACAAACTGGATTCCAAGGTTCTGTTGTCTCTAAGCTGTGTTATCCGGGGTGCACTTTATACATTAGCGAGATCAAGTTGTGAGTAACTAATTATATTCACACACCCCCCCCTTTTTTTTTTTTTCTTTCTCTGTGATCAAATTGTCCTGGGAACGCTCACAGCTGGCCTTGTTTACACCAGGTAAGAAAGGTTTCCTTTTGCATTGTCTTTCATCAGCTCCAATGACTCAGTAAAGCCCTTGGTTCTCTGGAGTATCCTCCCCCTTTTCAAATGCACTTCGTTTTTTCCAGGACAACTGCAACATGCACAAGAACTTGCAATCTAGACTTTCAGCATAAAGAAAACTTAGATTCTCTTCTGCTTACTTCCCACATCTCAGTTTCTTACCCAATAGGTATTGCTGGTTTTGGTAGGAGAGTTACTGTAGGCAGTTTATGAAGGTTTAGTTTGCAGCCTTAAATGCTGAGTGTCCTTCTTGCTGCAAATGTAAGTTTTACCTTGTGGTGCCATTATAGAAGAGGATGATAGGATGTGCAAGGCCTTGGCTTATGCAAAGCTGTTGGTACTGCTTATTTCCTTGCATTTTTCCAGTGCAGTTCTAATGGTGTACACATCTGCAAGTGGATTGTGGCAGAGCAATAGCCAAAATGGCAATGCTTTAATGGAGAGTACTTACTATTTGGTGCAACATTTTGCTCTGTAGCTTTCTGATAGGTTCCTAAAATCTGTCTGGCTACAAATTAGGTCTGTATGTTGTTTTCATGGTTTTATTAGCTTTCTTATAATTTTTCCTTTTTTTTATTTTAGTGGTTAGAAACCAGGCCAAACAGACAAGTGTGCCCTGTTTGCAAAGCAGGAATCAGTCGAGATAAAGTTATTCCTCTGTATGGAAGAGGCAGCACTGGACAACAGGACCCCAGGTAATAAACAGAAATACAGCGATTTGTGTGACAACTGCTAGGGTTTAAGGTGAAACTACCAAAGTGTTGGATTCACAGTGTGACAAGATGTCAAAAGACTGATAGAAATGACAGTTCTGCTAAATATTTCTGGCTTTTTTAGGGTTTGAATTTACATTCCTTATTTGACTGGCAATTTATTTTAATTTGTTGTTAATTAACAGTTAGAAGTAGTAGACTTCAATGGATGTTATTTGACTGGAGAGGCTTATATAAAATGTTCATGGATTTCATTGTTGATCCCCTGTTTCCAGCATTTGCAATGGAATTTTTTTTGTACTGAAAAGTGCAACATCTTAGGAATGTGATCCTGAAAGTTCATGTAGCTGTTGGGTCTGTTCAGCCATGTTATTTTCAGTTTTGCTGCAGCATGGCCCTGTGAGAGCATTCTCCAAGTTTGTTCTGTCTTATGAACCAACCTATTGCAGAAATTGCTGTCTGTGTGCTTAAATTTGAGCTAATTCTACAATTTTTTGTAGAGAGAAAACGCCACCACGACCCCAAGGACAGAGACCTGAACCAGAGAACAGAGGGGTAAGGGGAAAAAAAAAAAAAGAAAAGCTCAAGGAAATAGCTTGTTTTCATTGATGGTGGTGCTTATTCATCTTGGAGGACACAATGTGTGCATAAGGTCCTGTAGAGATCCCCAGAGGCTGTTTATGAATAGGTGATAGGTTCTGTGTGGCAGAAAACTCCATTCCCATAGTGCTATTTACAGTCCTAAAGAATGCAATAAATTGAATTGTGCTTGATGAAAACCCTTGTGGAATTGCTGGAAATGCTGTTCTTCATACTTGACAGCTTTCCATATGCAGTCATAAGGAATGCTTTGCTTTGAAAGTTCTATAGGATGTTGGTGTACCCTTGCATTTTAAGAAGAAAAGTAGATGTGCTTGGTGGATATGTGCAAATTTGAAGTGGGATTTGTGGTTTTGTTGAGGAGATTACATAGAATGAATGTAAACAGCAGCTGGTGTACGTTAGAGATGTGGGAGTAGCTATAGAGCAGACCACAGTGTTTTCTGGCATGATGACAGTGACCTGATGAAACAATGGTTTCATTCCAGGTAACTCAGCCCAGGGTCCTCAGAGAGCATGAGCCTCATGGCTCAAGCAAACAGCTCTACTGGGTGTGATTAAGGAACGTTTCTGTATTGTAGAGATTGGGAGCACTGCAGTTCTCTCTCACTAGGGAGTTGCTTTCTTATTAAATCATCTGCTGTCCTTGCATTCCAGCTTTTAGCTGGTGCAGTAAGTCAGGGGAGTCTCAAAGATGTAGCAGTAGTGATGCTGCCTTCCTGTTTCCTGCAAATGTAGGCCTTGTCATGCAGAGTGCTTTGCTGTCCCCTGCAGTTAGCCCTTACAGCATCCTTCATAGCATAGCATCTGACAAGAGTCATGATCGAGTATCAGAGCAGAAATGTCTGGCTTTTATTATGTGAATGAAGTCATATTTGTCCTTCAATGTTTGGAGGTGATCAGAGAGGTTTTTCACAGCTGGTCACAGTTTTAATTATGAGATCAGAAAACACTTTGCTGGATTATAGAACTCAGAGCAGTGACCCGTCCGCTTTTTAAAAGTGACACAACTACTTAGATTAATATTTAGTTGATTTAAATGGTGCACTGCTTTTATACACTAGGGTTCATCTTAATTCAGAACACTCTCTGATTTGATGTGGAATTTTAGTCTGGGGTCAATGCTGTAGCACTGTAAATCTTCTTTGGTGATTATATGCTACATCAGTTAGAATTGTGATATGATTCTCTAGTTTGTTTGGGTGTTGGCACTGCTCTTTATAATGACCACTGCCATCCCACTGGCCGTCTACTGAAGGTTTAAATGATGCACACGTATCAAAAGATCAATGCAGGTTATTCTCTACAGTATCTTTTTTTATAGCTATGTGGCTAATAGCTGTTAATACAGAATTATTGATAACAATTTTTAAATGTTCTGGTAATGTTGGTTTTGATGTATTGTCTTATACACACTGTTTTAAATAGAAAAGGTTTATATAAACATTCCTGTTAATTTGCAGCCTTCAAGCACAAAGTGCAATTCCTACTTGTCATTTTCTCAAACTCTTGGGTTGCTGTGGTAAATGCTTTTAGCATGACAGCTCGGGAGGTATTGAACAACAGTGGCAGACTAAAAGTCTGGCTAAAAGGCAAACAGTTCTGAAATAGGCTTTAAATTATTTGTACCTTTTCTTCTCTTCTGTTGCTTTGTTCTCTGCAGGGGTTCCAAGGCTTTGGGTTTGGAGATGGTGGCTTCCAAATGTCATTTGGCATCGGGGCGTTTCCCTTTGGTATATTTGCCACAGCATTCAACATAAATGATGGGCGACCTCCTCCAGGTACCATGCATCCTTTCTGCTCAGAGTCCTATCACAAACAGATATTTTACAAACCCTTTTGTAACTTAAACAAACAACCTGTTAAATGACAAAACTTGCTGAATAGTAAAGTAAATCAGTACTGTACATGGAAATACAGGAAGAGGGAAAACATGCAGTGGAAAAACACAGTCCATTTCTGACATGTTTTGTGTGAGGGCTTATTCATATGTCACTGCTGTCTGATTTCCTGGAGTGGTCTTGCTCTCTAAAAATGAATAACCTCAGAAAACCTCTTCCCAGCTGCACTGTAGTCAAACTGAGTCCGCCTGTTTTGCGCACACAAACCTACAGCCCAGGTTTTCTCTGGACTTCCTCTGCAAAAGGTGCTGCCTGGCCAATATTCTTCACTACATCATATGGTTTAGAAATCATAAGAAACAGAAGCGTGTTTTTCATGTCACGCCTGCATTGCCAAAGACCTGTGCTGCCCTTTGTTCCACCGAATTTACTTATCATTTGTAGGTCACACTTCAGTGAAAGTTTGTGTGTAGATGTGACAGAGCAAGGAAATGGAAATGTATGCTGCTCTCATAGCCATTGTTTAACCAGCTCCTTTGTCTTCTTCTCATCAATGGTGTCTATATGCAGGTTTCAGAGAGGCACGTGTTGAGCTTTAAATTTGCATGCTTTTCATTAGTTCTGTTAGTCAGGAGTACACACACAGTTCTACCATTTATTTACTCAGTTATTTCACCTTGAGGGGCAGGAGCTCCCAGGTAGAGGTGGTGGTGTTCCTTAGGATGGAAACACCCGTCAGCAGTGAATGTGGCTCAGCGCTGTCCCCAGAAGTACTCTGAGCACATCTGGATGTCCTGTAGCAATTGGAGCTGCCTGCTGCTATTAGTCATGAGCAAACTTGCCACAAGTCCTGCAGCAGGGAGCTTGTGCTTCTCTTTAGTTTTCCAGCATGGATGGCCAATCTAGGGGTAGGCAGTACTGGAAGCAGCAGTTTCTTAGCAGGTGGATTTCTTGTGTATTTTATATATATGTAATGAGTGTACAATATGCAGAATATACAATATTCTAGAGAAGAGGAAGATGCTGAGCCGTGTTTTACTTCCTGTTTTCCAGCTGTTCCAGGGACTCCTCAATATGTGGATGAGCAGTTCCTATCCCGCCTCTTCCTGTTTGTGGCTCTGGTGATTATGTTCTGGCTGTTGATTGCGTAAATCGTTTCCATTATTCTGAATACTCATAGCCAGAAAGGCTACTGAAACAGTTACAAACTGCTTCCCATCCCATTTTAAACCTCCTGGTGTCTGGTTCCGTAGCTAATGACGGGTTTCAGAAATTGGTGGTACTGCAGCACAGTGAAGAATCTCACATTTTTGCACCACAGTTGGAAATTAAACATTGGTTAAAACGTATTTCAGCTCGGCTGTCTAGTACAACAGGTTCTGACCACAAACCCTGGGCCTAGCTTTGAGCTCTGCTCCTAAAAGGAGTGCTGCTTTGAAATCCTGTGCCAATCAGTTACAATAGGTTTATGTGAAAGACAGTTACCCCAAGGTAGACTGGACAGGTAAGGAAACTTCTGCAGCGCCATCAGTATCTCATGCTTGGCAAACACGGTGGATCTGCCAGCGCTGTGGGTGTTACTCAGTTTCTTCAATCAACATCCAGCCTTCTTCAGGAAATCATCTGCAGCACGGCTGAGACTCCTTGGGCACAGCATGTGATACAAACGGAACCAGGTGTGGAGACTGGTTTCTTTTCTTGCTGTTGTTTCCCGCAGCAATGGAAAACTCCTGCCTGATGTGGTTAGAAGAGCTACTAATTTATGCTGCAGTTTTTTTAAAGCCTAAAGTTGCTGGAGCCAGACACTGGAAGATTCTGTGATGAAGCTGGGTGAGGTTATCGAGCAGTAGGACTTGCCTATCTGCCTCACCCAGCCCAGTTCCTCACTGACATAACAGTGTTGCCTTCCGTGGTTCTGTGCAGCAGCACTTACGGATAATCCCCTCCCATCCCTGCCACTGCAGCTACATTTCTTTCTCCCAGGGCTGTGAGACTTTCTACACAAGATTGCAAATAAAATCCCATTAACAACCCTGAAGTTTGGGGAGAGAAAGGAGGGCATCTTCAAGTGAGATTAGAACTTAAATATGGCATACTGTAAAATCATGCGGGAGGAAAAATGAGATCCTGCACATGCCACAGCAGGGAACACTTGGAAGAGCTTCTCTGTGCAGCCACGCATGGCTACAACACGGCACGGAACGGCTACAGTGCAAGTCTCGTCAATATCTACCAAAGACACGAATTAGAAGTGCTGGAGGAGACCACGACCATCTCTGTGCCAAGGGGAAAATATTTCCGAAGGTGAAATGTAGCCCATTTGGAATCACGTTGGGTGTACAGCTTTAAAAGTATTCCTGATATATTTGTGTAGATTCCTTCAGAAGAGCAGACACGAGGGATTTCCTAATGAGATGAACAATTTTGATATTTCTCTGACTAGACAACTCCATTTCCTTTTTTTCTTCTATTGTTTTTAGATCGTTTTGATTCAGATCACTGCTAGTCACGATGATTTCCTGCGAGATGAATATTGTGACTTCCCTCATCATAGACGTACAAACTGACAGAGCAAATCAAGTCTTAGAAACTGTTTCCATAGTTAAGCTCGTTAACGTGTATGGTTAAAGTTGCTGGGCAGGGCACCTCGATTAACTGTAGTGGGTTATTTGTGTAAGTGTAAGACGCGACTCCGGGCAGTGGCAGCGTTCCGTGCCTCCCTGCAGCGCCCTGGGAGCCGTGCTGAATGGAGGCGCGGACGGCTCTTCTCGGCTCTTCTCTGGTCGTCGCGGGGCGGAAGCTCTGGAGGTGTCACGCCGTGTTTGTATCGTATCGCTCCCCTCGTATTCAGGCTGCACGCAGCCGGTGACGGCTCGTTCAGTGCGTTATTGCCGTTACTGTTCACTAATTTTCACTGTTGTGAAAGTGATTTAGAATTAAAAAAGAAAAAAAGAAAAAAAAATGGTTTTATATTGATGGGAGTAAGCTGCCGTTTCTTTGTGCTTGGCGATCGAGCCGAGGAGCCCGCTTCTGCGCCGTGCCTCGGGAAGAGGGAGGCTGGAGTTCCTCTTCCCTCACGGCGGCTCGCCGGGCCGGGCCAGGTGCAGGACGACACCGGCAGACCCGCCGCTCCCGCCGCCGCGTGTGGAGAGCGGGGCCGGGGCCGCGGCCGCGCCGCGATTGGTCCTCGCCGCGGAAAGGGCGGGCTCGCTCTCTCCGAGGGAGCGTGAGGGAGGCGGAGCGCCGATTGGCCTGCGGCGAGGAAGGGGGCGGAGCTTCCCTCGGGGCGTGGCGCGGCGCCGACAGAGTGGTTGGCGGGAGGGAAGGAACGGCGGCGCGAGGCTGAGGGAGGCGCGCTCCCGGCCCGGGTGTGGCGCGGCGGTGACGTCAGCGGGGCCCGAGGCCATGGCGGGGCCGCCAGGTGAGAGCTGCGGGGACGCGCGGCGGAGCGGGCGCGCCGCTCCATCGCTCGGGGCCTGCGGCGGGGCCGCGCCGCTTCCTGCCGGCGTCCGGGCGGAGCCGCGGGGTCGGGCCGCAGCGGCGCGGCTCCGCAGGCTTCCGGGCCCTCCGCGTCCTCGAGCCGCCCGAACGTTCCCCGCGGCGGTGCTGTGCTCCGCGGCGCCGTCCTGGCCCCCCCCCGCAGGTGCGAAGCCGCGGCGGTGCCGCGTGGCGGTGCGCCGCGAGTTCCAGCGGCGGCGAAGAGTCGGGGATCATCTGATCTCCGTGGGAGAGTGGCGGGGGGCTGCGCTTCTCGGACGTGACGGAGCTGCTGGCCGACCGAGCCGCTCACCGTACGGCGTCGGCACGGTTACGGCGAGCAGAGCGGGCGTCTCGTTGACCTCTGGTGCCCGTGTCTCTCTCGGTTCTCTGCTCCGCTTCAAATTCTCACACTGCGGTGACTGCCGGGCTGCTGCTCCAGCCGTTCGGATGCTGCATTGCGGGGCGCATCTGTTCCGTGGAGCGCTCGCAGTCACTGAGAGCTGCCTTCTCTCCTGCTGTTACGCGCTGAGCGCAGAGCTTGGCCTCGCTGATGCCTTGTGCCGCAGGAGTAGCACCCTAACCCTAACTTAAACCAACACTCTAAAGAGGCTGTGGGTAAGGAAAGCACCGTCCCTGCAGAAGAAGCATCCTTCCTAGTGCTGAGCTATCCATCCTCTGCAGCTTCCCTCCCTGGCAGCAGACAGCTGCTGTAAGCGCAGTGATCGCGGGGCAGTGAGGGCAGTTCCCTTCACTGGGAGCTGCCGCTCGGTCCGTGTAAGAGCTTTCTTACATTGCAGGGTGAAGCTGCAGAGGAAAGCCTCAGAAAGAAGGGGCAATCGCTGAGCAACCGCCGAGTTTTAACACTCTTTAGAAACTGGAAGTCTGTGGTTAGTGGTTTTCCTTTTCTAAGCGCAATTCTTTCCTTGTGCATCTTTCCTGCAGTCAGCTTGCAGTAGCAGAAGGAAGCAGCACGATGTGTTCTTTGTGCCATCCTGCGCTCAGCCACATCCTCGGCTCTCTCTTGAATGCACCCTAACATCTGCTTGGATCTCAGATAGCATTTCTATGTGCCACATTAGTGCTAGAGTCTTTGTACTGTTGTTCTTTTTCCCAGCCTGTATGCGTCCTGGCTGTCTCTGGGGCTTTATGACTTTTTAAACACTGCCAGTATTTTCTGAAGGGACAGCAGGCGGTGGCAGCTACTCCTCTTCCTAAGCCTGGCTCCAGTGCAGCGTTGGTTGCACAGTCTTTGCAGGAATATCCTTTTGAGTATGTATTTCCTTCCTGATAGTCAAGTTGTTCTCTGCTGAATAAGGTTTGTCTTTTTTCCTGTTCTGGGAAATCCAATTAATTACTTGAAAGTGCAGAAATGTTACGTGCTGAGTCAGTGGCATGAGGGGAATGCTAACGTGCCTTCCTGGCATAGCATGGCTGTAGGAGTTGTCACACTTGGCCCATCTCCACCTGAAATCTCTGCTCCAATGAGTGGTGCAGCCCTAACCGTGCCATCTTCTGTGAAAAATAATATTGTTTTCTTCTGCAGAATGTGGAGGAGCATGTGCTGATGTTAGGTCTGGAGGGAAAAAATGGGGGTTTCGGATGTTAGAGTTCAATTTGGGATCCCTAAACATTGGGGCTACGGTATGCCTGGTGTAATTTAGGGCTGTTCTGTATCGGGGATGCAGCAATCCTTGTTTTCTTTGATGTAAAATGGTTGTTGACATCGCCTTATTCCTGTATACAGGTGAAGAAGTCTGGAGATGCCTGGGATGTGGGGACCTCATTGCTGCTGGTCAGCGCCTCTACAGGACAGTTAATGAAGCCTGGCATGTTTCCTGCTTCCGGTAGGTGCAATTTTATAGCCTTGTTCTGCTGGAGAATGGTGGATGCAGTACTGACAGGAGGTTGGTTTTGAGGCAGTACCCCGCTGCCAGCTCTGTGTCTGACCTGCCCTGCAGCCTGTGAGGAGGCAGCGTGCTGCTGGTCGCAGCCATGCTTCAGTACCCACAGCAGCCCTTTGGAACTGACCTTCAGTTCTGGCTGCAGTCTGATGCTGCCTGGCAAGGTGCTGCCATGCTGACGCACGCACATACCGGAATACAGATAAACTATAAATGGAGGCTCTGATTTGCTGCTGGTAGCAGAAGCCCCGCGTTGCGTCTTTGTCTGCGGTTGCATTCCAAGGAATTGCCCAGGCCATCTGAGCTCCCGTCGCTGTTTCCATATGTGGTAGGTGCAGGAGCAATATCAGGGTGTTGGGAAAGCTGCTGATTTGGCAGAGGGGGCTCTTGCCTTTCTTGCAAGTTCTCAGTCTGGTTTTCAGACTCCAGAATGGTATTTCTGAAGGGGCTTATGTTTGTCAGAGGAGCAGGAGCTTCTGTTGGCTTCTGGGTAGGAACAACTGTGTCTTGAATCTGGAGAAGTTAATGTTTTGGACCTTGTTAAAGCAAATAGAGGGTAAAGGAAGCCAAAGTGTGGCTTTGGAGGAATGTTTGCTGTGCCAAGACAGGCATCTGTCCCATTGTGTTTAATTTATTACTATAAAAAGACTTTGTTGAATTATGGTTGTTGGTGTATTTTTTAAAAAAGCAAAGCATAGTAGGCTGCCAAAGCAACGTTAGCTCTGTTGACTTGGAAAATGTTGTTAGTTAGAATGCCTTGTTAATCACAGCTTCTGCTCCATATCACTGCAAATCCCAGCCTTTCTGGACTGAGTATTCATGTTCAGCTATGTTGTGTCAGCTTCACTGAGCCCTGTTTTTCTCTTCTCTCTAACAAGCTGGTGTCCTGTTGTGGAGCTTCCCTAGATTCTCCCAATTAGCCAAACTCCAATTTGTGTGTGCAAGTCTTTTTTTTATGCCTTCTCTTC